TGGTCACGTAACAGAGACTCAATGAAAATTTCTTCTTGCTACTACAGCACACAATCATAGTGTAGACCTGTAGTTCAGCTTCACTCATGCACAGGATGAAAATCATCACCTGCGTGTTGTGGACGCACAGAAACACACACATTGTCGTCACCTGATTCAACACAATTACTATCGCATTACAGACACGAAGAAGAATGTGCAGTATACAACAGTGTTTCTGCTGTTTTTGTTGTGTGGTTAATTCTGCAAGAGAGCCGCAGCGTCTGTTCTGCGTTTACCTTCTGTCAGCTGTGTTTGTAAGACATTTAAACTTAACGAATGCATGTCCATAAATGTCAAGTCTCCTCTTTCCCTCTTTACAAGCTCCAGTATTTGTGTTTTGTGTTTATTCCTTGTGAGCACAGTCACTATAATGAGCAAGTTATAGTTATGTAAAAATAAAGAGATTATATTGATAATTCCTATTTCAGGAGGAATTTATGCCGAAGACCTTTCCCAGACTCAGGAAACAAAAACACATTGAAAAATCAACATTCCAGACTTTGGAAAGGCTATAAACAGAACCGATTTTACAAGGTACTTATACCCTTGGCCAGAGTTGATCGAAATGACTTTTACACCAGTTTGTTAACAAGCAGCACCTAACTATCACCACCTACCTCAGCCAAAGATGTCATGAGCCTGTCCCAACCTGTGAGTAAGGGCCAAGATTAAGAAGTGTGAAAACAACTGACAGCAGGGATGTGCTGCATTACCACTCCTTGGGTGGGACAAGGTATGAGAGAGATTTACCACATCTTCAGTACATTTTCTTGCTGCAGAAAAAATCACAGTTGAAATATCTGAAATATACTGAAAGAAATTGAATTAGCAGGTAAAATGTGCTAAAAGAAGTTGAAGTTTAAGTCTAGTCATTGAATGAAGTTAATATCAGTTATGGTGAAAGTGCTGAAAGGAAATTAGGCAATAAATTGAACTGGAACCTGAAAGAAATCAGTGCCATTACAAATGCATAAACTAGGGCACATGGTAGCTCACCTGGTTGACCACGCGGCCCCCCATGTAGGCTGGAGTCCTTACTGCGGCAGCCCCTGGTTCGATTCCAACCCTGCAGCCCTTTGCTTCTTGTCATCCCCCTTCCTGTCTATCTTCACGCCAGTCCTAATCAAAACATAAAGGCATAAAAAGCCCCAAAAATATATTTTTAAAATAACATATAAACTGAAAGACGATGTCAGCTGAAGTGTAGGTAATGTAAGCAGTTGAAGTAAATTGTTTATGAAAAGTGAAAGTTGTGGAAGCTATAAGAGTTAAGAAGTTTAATTTCATTCACCCTTTTGTTGAAAGACCTGAGACCATGAAAGGGTTTGAAGTGGAAGCGCTGAATAGATGTTCAACAGAGTTGGAACGTTGGCTGACATGTACGTGGTGAAAGCAGCTGAAATATCTAATGAAGTGGAAGAAGTGGAAGCTGTTGAAATGAAAATGTTGACACAAAAACGCCAAAGACATTTCAAGGGTGTACAATGTTAGCAATTGGAATTTGAATTAAAGTGTAAAATCTCAAAGCAGCTGAACGGTCGGTTCAAGAATAGAAAATCTGTGTATTGAAAGCATTTGAAATTTAATTTAAAGGTCCAGTGTG